TTACAAAGATCAAGCTAAGAGTTATTATTCTACCTCAGTTCATTTTACAAAGCCTAGAACCCTAAGGTATACTGCCACCCTCCCAGGATGCGACTCACAACAGTTGACTAACATCTAGGTAACTACTTACTGCTAGGTGAACAGGAGCAGTAGGTGTATGGAAAAAGGCCCAACCGTGCAGAGGATCGAACCATGGACCCTCAGATTATGAGCTGTGCGCTCTAGCAACTGAACTACGGGACACTTTTAAGTAGCTTTGTGATAGTTTTTATCCCTTCAGCCTTCTGTTATTTTTCGTTTATACCACAAAAAGGCCTCACCAGATAAACTTCGAATTTTAAATTTTCGAAAATGCTACATCAGTTGCATTTTATGGGAAAAGTTAAATAAAATCTTATTATTTTATTTTTTGAACTATTCATATACATATATAAGGCAAAAAAAGAAGTCAAAAACAAAATGGTTATGTGCAGGAGCCTTATGACCAAAGTTGTATTAATATTGGTAGTATTACCGACAATATGTTAAGTAAAAGGACACAAGTGCAACTAATGTGACATTTTATTGTGGCAACGTTTCGGTCTCCAGATCTTTATCAAACCGTTACGACAAAGCTCTGGAAGAGAGAAAACGTTGCCGCAATAAAATGTCACATTAGTTGCACCTGTGTCCTTTTACCTAACATGACCAAACTTGTAAAGTAAAAGGACACAAGTGCAACTATTGTGACATTTATTGTGGCAACGTTTCGCTCTCCAGGAGCTTTATCAAGCCATTGTTTCGCTCTCCTGGAGAGCGAAACGTTGCCACAATAAATGTCACATTAGTTGCACTTGTGTGCTTTTACTTTACATATTGTCGGTAATTCTACCAACTTTATTACATGACCAAACTTGTAATATCCGTTCCCAGCATCCTTCAATGCCTCTGATAACTTCCATAACTCTCTGTGGCATAGCTTCAAATGTTCCCCAAAAAAGATGCTTACTAATTTGAGTAAAAATTTAGTTTGTAATTGCACATCAACTAATTTTATGTGTTAAATTGTGTAAAATTTTTATACTTGTCAAATCACGTTAAACTGTGTGGTACAAAATTTGTCAATGCACTATTCTTTTTCTTTTTATAAAACCTGGGATCGTTGGAATCTGTGTGATCACTGGAGAATGCCTCTTCTGATCGGATTCAAATTTTGACCCCAGATGTTACCAGGAAGTAAAGTTCGTGTTTTTATTGGGCTCCATCAGGGCCCTACATTGATTTCCATTCAGTAAATAAATAGCACCTCGTCTTATTTATCGGCTTCAAAATAAACGCTGATACATTTTATACAAAAAAGGACAATATAAGTTTAAATTGTTTAGGTGCAAATTTAAAATTTGAATAAAATTTATATATCAAAAAAAAAAAAAATAACAGAATGGTTGAATTCAGAACAATTGCTGGAGAAAGTCTTTTAGGATAGTTTCCGAAATTTCCTTGACGTTGAGCAATGCAAATTTTAAATTGCCAATTTTGCTAAATAAATTGGTTCCTGGTAACTGGAGAATGCCTCTTCTGGTCGTTTTCAAACACTTAAACACAGAAGGATCTTACTTGAAAGCATTTTTGCACTAAATTTGGGCTCATATGTGCCAATTTGATAATTCTGTAGATTTTTTTTTATTAAATCTGACTTTCTTAAAAAAATAAAACCAAATATTTATTCTTAGGGAATTGTAGATAATTTTAAACAGACTAGAACTGCAAAAACAGATAACAGAGAGATAATGAAATCTCACTTTTTTAATTTTTAACGAGTTTAATGAACCCTTAATATTTCCGTCAAACCCGACACCTTCTTCAGTTAAAGCGTTCTCGTCTTTCACTAACATTGATTCAAGACTTTCGTTTATAACTTCATAACGTCTTATTTGATCGGCTTCAATTTTTTAACCTTGGTCAACTATTACTAGGTGCAAGTTTTTCGAACAACTGACTAGTGCAGGTGTCCTCTGCTCAATTTTTTTATACAACATTCTCGAAATTAATTTCCATGAGATGACTTTTAAAAGCTTATTCTGATCGCATTCAGAATTGTAACACTGGTGTATCCTACTTATTTTCTGTACTTTTCTTAAAAGGAAATCAATTTTACTCGGATAAAAGTTTACACTGATTTTGTCCTGTGTAGGTTCCATTTTTTTTTTTTTTTGTAAATTCGAAAAAATGGAATACTGATAATTTCCAATATCACATCTGATTAGCTTCAGCCTCTCCTAGCTCTCAATAATTCAAAATCTGAGCGGCTTCAAGTTAATGTGCTTGTGTACTCCTGGATATTGGTCTCTTTCACAGCTTTTAATTAGATATGGGCAGTGTAATATCCTAATATACCATTTATATAGCAGAAATTTGGATATTAATTTGCTTATGATGACTTGTTAATACCTCTCCAACGCTAATATTTAACGGCATTATTATCTTATAATGCACTCTGTATAATTCATGCCGAGGATACTTTTAGAGGATCGCGCACCGGCCGGAATATTAGTTATATGACTGTGATGTACTGTACACTCAATGGGTTTCCGATTTGTTTTCATGCCCCAGAAATCTGTATCGCCTTAATGAATCATTACATTTATTGGTGTTATGGTATGTTAAAAAATTACTGTTTTTAATAGCAAATCTAACAGAACCAAATGTAATTCAAATAGCATAAATCGAAAAA